GCACAAATAAATGTGCCGTGTGCAGTTTTTGGGCTGATCACCGCTGATGGGATAGCTCAGTCAGTAGAGAATGAGTCTTAATCTCTGATTACTCTTAATCTCTGGGTTTTGGGTTCCAGCCCCATGTTGGACAAAAGATTATTGAATTGCAGAGTGTTGTACTAGTTGACCCTTGTGGTTCATTCCAGCCCTACAATTATATAACCCTACGACTCTATGGCATTTATATCCATTTAGATGCATACTTTTGAAACTTGATGATTAAGAAATGTGTCGGTATGGGTCTGACCTTTTTCTTCTGTTTCTCATATTGTAATCTGACCATGAGCAAAAGAAGCACTTGTCTGAGAGTGCCAAGTTATGGCAGGGAACAGGAAATACCTGGAGAAGAGATGTGATAGTCCTGGGTTCTGCTTAGAAACAGGTGACATTAAATAATTTCCTGAGAGTTTTGTCAACTGAGACTAAAACAAGAGCACCTAGAGCACCCTTCTGCAACATAGTGTCTTCCAGATGTTTTGGACTTCAACCTCCATCATAAGAGCACAAGAAGAACCTGCTGGATCAGGCCAGTGACCCATCTAGTCCAAAAACATCCTGTTTTCACAGTGGCCCACCAGATGCCTGTAGGAAACCTGTAAGCACAAGAGCATTTTTGACAACTGGTATTCAGATCGCAGAGGCAGAACATAGTCCTCACCGCTAGTATCCATTGATAGCCTATTCCTCTGTGAATTTTCCCAGTCCTCTTTTAAAGCCATCCAAGTTGGTGGCCGTCATTGTCTCCTGTGAGAAGGGAATCCACCATCCCTGAATATAGGACACATTGGCCGGTGGCTGAAGGGAGCTGAAATTCAAATCTCAAAGGTACCAGGCTGCGGAAGACTGGCTTAGATACTTCAGAGTTCCTGGGGAACACCTTGGCAAGACTGAACCTTGATAACTCCATGTAAAAAGATTGGGCATTAAATGAAGTGGTTGCAAATAGCATGAGGACATCTCCATCCATATCCTTCAAACTTCATTTCTTTTATGCCTCTCTCTTTCCCCCTCAGCAGCTCCAGTTGCAGTTTCCACAGGTTTTCTAGATGTTGGGCTAAAACCATGTTTGAGCAATATGGGAGAAATATATTTTATGGTCATGACTGGGTCAGGAATTCATGCACCTTTTAAGTGAAACTCTGCCATACTATGGCTTGATTAAGTACACATAGCCACCATATGGTAACCACTGGTGGGGCAGGGGGAGTGCATCGCCCCCAGCATCATCGGGGAGGGGGGTACCATCGCGGCTGCCCCCCCAGACACGTGACATGCAACCCCCGCCGCACCAGACCATGCAGCATCGCCACTGATGGTAACCTCACCAACTGGAGGATAAAGTATTATTTCCAAAGATGGTGAACTAAAATCCTGTTTATTCTCTATTCAGTATCTTTGGCTATTTGGACTGCATACTTCTAAATTCCTTTGTCCTTCTCTGATTAGCCATCTCCTTGGGATGTTTCATTACTTAAAGCCATGACAAGTCAGTATTGAGTCATCCTCAAAGTTTGCATGGAAATTCATCAGTTTTGATTTGCAGAATTCTGTTTCCCTTAGTGTCGCTGCCAGAATCACCCTTCCACTTTAAAATCAAATAGATTTATAGCTGCAGTTTTGTTTAACTGTATGCTGCTGTTCCCAGTTACTGAGCATATTCTACTCCTAGTTTGAACCTCTGGAAATTTTAGACCTGGGTGGTAGAAGCAAAGCTTCCTTCCTTCCTACCTACCTACCTACCTACCTACCTACATGTTTACATGAGCTCAAGCTTAAGGGCCAGATTCTAGCTGGATAGACTCTGATATGCATCCAACTCAGAGGAATTGAATTTTGGCCAGTGCTGGCCCTGCCTTATTATGGTCTGCAAATGAACAGATTGCTGCATCCCTACAGCAGGCTGCACAATCACTGGAGCTAGGTTGGTGCAGGTTCACCTGTGATACAGCATTCATGAAAACAGAAGATTCATTGTGCCGTGGCTTTGTAGAAGCATGAGGAATCTTTTAATGGCAGGGGGCATGATTGTTCCTTCAGACATCCTATTACCCGTTTATCAATGCTGTTCAGAAGTGTGGCTTCCCTGTTCGGAAGAATGCTTGCCCCGAATACATATGGATTCTAATCAGTGTCCCAGATGTCCTCTTCCTTTTCTCCAAGAATTTTTTATATGAATAATTAGTCACAATGGGGACAATTTACAGTCTGCAAGGAAAACACTTCTTACATTTATTCACAAAGGAGTCAATTTAAAGTCTGCGAGGGAAATGCCGTGTTTCTTAATTTTGATCCAGGACTAAAATACTTTCATGTATCAGTATTTTGCATCCTTAAGGGTACTGTTGACTGTGCCACATTAGGCTGTGGAAAGGAAAAGGCAAATATAGTTATCAACGAGAACAGAACACCCTTTTAGCAATGCACAGATATAGGCAAACGTCCTACCAAACCACTAAATGGGCAAGCTTGAATTCTAGATGTTGGTTTGATTACTAATTTATTAAGGAATTCAGTATTTCAGGGAATATTATAAAGCTTTTAGAAACTTCCTCATTTAAGTGAAATTAATTACTGCTTAATATATTACACCTTCCTGTACATGTTTAACACCTGACATAATTAATTTGTTCTATAAAATCAATGTGAGGCAAACCTCCAGAGTTCCTTAGATGCCTTCTGAAGAAGGTTATCAATTTATCTATCATCTCATGCATTACTTGCCTTCCAACTAGGAGCTCAGAGCAGTGTACTTGGAGCTAGCCTATTTTTCTCAGCAGCCCTGCACAATAGGTAAGGCTGAGGGATGCTGACTATAGATGTTCAAAGCGCTCGTGCATGGCTCCCCCCCCCCCCAGTTTGCTTTCTCTTTTTGTGCTCTTTTCTTGCAAGCACTGAAACCAGAATTGGGAAACTGAAACCAATGCCCCCCCCCCCCCGGCAACAATTCATTTCAACACATGAAGAAATGGTTTCTGATAGACTTCTACATCTTATGCAAACCTTCCACAAGATTGTTGACCAAATGCATTTGTTGGTTTCTATTATATTTTTTTTCAGGAAATCAGAAGAAAAATAGACACTGGAATTTTGTCGCATTGAGATGAAACGTCTATTAATATGGAATGTTTTGCTTCAGATTGTAGTATGCAATGGTAGCTAAACTTTTGTATTAAAAAACCATAAGTATGTACTAGGTTTACTGAAATATTTGCCTTGCATTTTCAATTTATAAATTCAGAGTTAGCACTTAAATTGTTTTATTCTGACCTTTTATTTCTACAGTCCTAACGCATCATTTGAGACAAACTGTAGACCAAGAGATTCTGTTCTCTTTTGGTGATATAAATCTCCAATATTTACAACTTAACTGAAGGCGGAGGATACAGAACAGTGATATTTTAGTAACAAAATGAGCTCATTTAATTTTCACAATACAGGTCTGATGTGTATTTATTGCTTATTACAGAATTGGTTCCCTATTAAAGAATAAGAATGACTGAAATAAAATGTCGTGTCATCCCCCCCCCCCTTAAAATTTGTATCTGGTTGAGAACTGAGGAATACATAAGCAAACGAATAAGAAATATTTCGGCTATAATGTTCTTGTTTTGTAATGACAACAATAATGCACAGTTCTAGCCACAGCACTGCAATAATGTTATGTGAAATAGCTGCTTGTCTTACTGGATCAAATGTTTTTATGGTGAAATCTGTCATAATTGTCCATGGACACCATTGAGTGTGGAGGCTGCAGTCAGAGTCAGCAACGTAATTGGCACGAGAGCCTGTAGAGAAATGGGTCAGTGCTTCTGACTGTTAACCAGAAGGTTGGTGGTTTGAGCCCACCCAGGGATAGCTGTGGGCAGGATTGCCATATTGCAGCCGGTTGGGCTAGATGACCCTTAAGGTCCTTCCATCTCTACAATTCTATGAGGAACTGGCATGTAGGCACATTAGTGAGGTATGTAGGCATTGTAGGAACTGGCATGCTGGCACATTAGTGAGCTTTGAAGGAAACTGTTTACCCAAATGAGTCTTAAGGACTTTACTCGCTGCCTTTCCCTGCTTCTGCTGGACCATTGCCTGCAGCTGAGAACAGAAGGAGAGCCTGTTGGATTGGGCCGATGGCCAATCTAGTCCTGCATCCTGTTCTAATGATGACCAGCCACATGCCTTTGAGAAATCTATAAACAGGACCTGAGCACAACATCACTATCCCCTCCTACACTTTTCAGCCACTGATATTCGGAAACATGCTGCCTCTGACCATGGAGGCAAAGCATAGCCATCATGGCTAGTAGCCAATGATAGCTTTATGCTCCGTGATTTTGTCCAATCCTCTTTTAAAGCCATCCAAGTGGGTGGCCATCATTACGACTGCATTCAGACACCATTTTCCCAATGTTTCCTTAGCGGATAATTTCCATTTCTGGAAATCTGGAAAGTTTAGTTCTCGTTTCCATGTTAATTGCTTCCCAAAGGAATCTGTTTGCAACCTGTTTAAGAAGGAAAATTGCAGGATGAAATTGAGGGCAGTATCTTGGCATATAGTTCTTTCCTGCCATTTTCATGGGTGAATCATGGGGAAAGGAGAAGCACAGAAAAGGAAGTGGTGACTTTTTGAATGATGTCCGCTTTTGTGTCACACTACGGCCACTAAACGTTAATGAAATTAAGTGTGACATTGCGGTATGTTGATCAAAAAGCCACAGTTCCACAATTCAACAGGCAATTCCATAGGTTAAGTATGCACTTGTGTGAAGAAGTCTCTTTTGGTGTATATGCATATGTTTAAAAATGCATTCTTAAACTACCGGTATTTTCTAAGTAAAGTATTCCCCAAAGACTGTAAAAAATGTCTATATGACCTAGGAATTAAAGCCAAATAATTTCATTTGCTGGATATACGCAGAATCAATTTTCTGATTATGGTACTCTGTTTTCTTTCTACTTCTCAGTGTCTTGTCTTTGAAGATGCCCCCAATGGAGTCAAGGCATCACTGACAGCGGGAATGCAAGTGGTGATGATTCCAGATGAAAACCTGAACAAAGATCTTACGAAAGAAGCAACTCTAGTACTCAAGTCGATGGCTGATTTCAAACCAGAATTGTTTGGTTTACCACCATTTGATTGAGAATAGTTTAACTTTTAAAACATTTTAATTTAGCCATATTGATTTCAGGAAAAAAGGCTTTTTAGATTATTGTAAACATGTGTTCCACTTTTATTATTAGACTATACTGAAAATCTCCTTTATTAAAATTGCACAGATGGAAAGATTGTACACCAGACCCCTTGAAACTTATAGCCACTTAGATGGGAACTCAAAAGGCCTACCCAGTACTAAACACAGGAGGTAGATTTTCATAGGGATTGCAGCATATCAGCTGTGATCGCGAAGAAATGTATCCCACCCAGACAGCAGTTAGCCTTAGGCACAAAGCTCTCATTGGTGCCAGTCATTGGGATCTTGAAAATCCTCATAGGCCATCACGGAGTTAGGGATTGGCTGAGCTACTATTTCCATTCTGTTTAGGTCTCATTGGCACTCAGTTCTTGGTTTAGCCCATCTGTTCAGACTCATTCTGTCCCATTGTGTGCCCTTTTTACATTAAGTGCACATTTTTTAGTGTTCTTCATCTGCAAAATATGCAGTTTGTACACATCTTTTACATAAATTATGTACTTTTGTGCACAGAAAATGTATTGCAAAATCTGGAGAAGTGCATAATCTGACCGGGCATTCCGATCCACCCGCAAGTTCAGGTGTGTCAGGTTGGGTTGGACCATTCCAAAAAACAAAACAAGAAACCAAATCAATTACTCCCTCATCCCTAAAAGCAGTATAAGGAAAAGCAGTATATGCAGGTTCCTTTACTGTGTCTAAATGGGCCTTGAATTATGTCTTGGTTTTTTTCTGCCTTGCTTGAAATTCCGCATTTCTATAATGTTCTGGCTTCATCTTGATTGGGGGATATCATGTACTATAAGCCCATGATACAAAATCTGTTGCAAAATTCTTACTTGCCTGGATCAAAGCCAGACAAACAGGTTGTAAGACTGCAGGCAGGACTCTGCTAATTTGAGCGTTTCTTTCAAAGTAATTGTTTTAGATGTGTGGTTATAATTCCTTTATACAGTTGCTACCAGCCCAACAGAATATTCTCTAGTTGTTGTCTTTGCTTGCACAGACTGGCCATGTTCTTTTGCTGTTCTGTTTTTCTTTTCATTGTGCTTTTTCCTTTCCCAGCAGTGCCAATGGTAGAGAAAACATCTCTTGCTAGCTTCAGGATCCCTCTGCTAAGTGCCAAAACAGTTCTATTTCTCCTCCTCCCTGTTTATCTTGATTAACCTTATTTGGTGACTTCATGATTGCATCATTTGTTCAGATTCAGTTTGCCGGGTGATGTTTTCATTGTTGCCTTTTCTGGCGCTTTGATCAGAACTGCACTATCCTCACATGTCTTGAGATGGCATCTGCAATGTTGCCCATGGAAAACAGAATTGTATGTACCTAGCACTGACCCATATTCAAATTCTTTATCAGGAAAAAGCCAATTATTGGATTTAAATAAATTGTGCTAATCAAAGTGTTTGCAATTTTGTTTTGTTTTTCTTTTCTGTAATTCCATTTATCCTGTCCTGGAGACAATGAACAGTGAACCAGGTAGAGTGGTGAGGGCCACTTCCTGGATATCCTGCTCTGGCTTCTTAAAAGTTCACCTGATACCACCCACATGTTCTCAAGCTTATTGCTAAAGAAAAGGAGGCATTATTTTTTTTTAAGAGGGGGGAAGGATTATGGATTTTATGATGTTACAATATTGTGCCTGCGAGCGCTCCAGTTGGAGAACAGCCTTTACCAAAGGTGTCATGGGTTTTGAAGAAGCACAAACTCAGGATGTAAGGGAGAAATGTGCTGAGAGGTAGGCACGCTTGGCAAACCCTCACTGTGATCTACTCCCACCCAGAAACCTATGTCCCCACTGTGGAAGAACTTGCGGATCCAGAATTGGCCTGTACAGTCTCTTATGGACTCACTGTTAAAACCATGTTCATGGAAGGCAATCTTACTCAGCTACGAGTGATCGCCAAAGAAGAAGAAGACTACAGTGGTGCCTCGCAAGACGAAAAGAATCCGTTCCGCGATTCTCTTCGTCTTGCGGTTTTTTCGTCTTGCGAAGCAAGCCCATTAGCCGATTAGCGCTATTAGCGGCTTAGCGGGCTTAGCGGATCAGCTGATAAGCGGCTTAGCGGATCAGCTGATAAGCGGCTTAGCGATCAGCTGTTTAGCGACTTAGCGGATCAGCTGTTTAGCGGCTTAGTGGATCAGCTGATAAGCGGCTTAGCGGCTTGGGAAAAGGGGGGGAGGAAAAAACCCCTGCAGGAACTCGCAAGACATTTTCATCTTGTGAAGCAAGCCCATAGGAAATTCGTTTTGCGAAGCACCTCCAAAACGGAAAACCCTTTCGTCTAGCGGGTTTTCCGTCTTGCGAGGCATTCGTCTTGCGGGGCACCACTGTATTTGGAATGGTGTGCCCAATGCCACTCTGAGTCCACAGAGCTGAGATTTGTAGCACAGTGAAACTCAAGTGTTATCCATTAGACCAGTGGTTCCCAAACCTTTTAAGTGGTCTTACTGTTTTTTCTGTCCGTTGCAGCAATTATAGCACACTGTGCGAGATGTTGTATGATTTAACACTATTTTTACACCCAGACTATGGATTACTTGAATGAAGCTCCTGCATTAAGCTATAGTTCAGGAGAATGTATCTTCAGTGCTATTTTTATAGAAAAAGGGGTGCCGGAACTCACCATGAACACCTCCCTTGTTCTCTTATAATAGCAATGGCTGCCACCTCAGAGATGCTAGAACTGAGTTCTTGTGAGTTCCATCGGGGGGGGGGGAGTCCTGGGTATCTTCATGTTGGAATGTTTTGTACTGCTTGATGCTTAATGGACATCAGTCCCTCAGTTTTTCAGAAATTCTTGAATTCAAATTTTCTTTTTGGCCCATTAACCATGCATTACCTAGGATAATTTGCCTTTAATGGAGCTATTTATATCACACCTTTATGTAGCTATTTATATAGCTTTACACAGCCTTCTGCATCTTAATTCCACCAAGTCTGGTAATGGAATTCTTTGCAATGTGTGCATCCATACCATTTTCTACTGAGGAGGGTCCTTTCAGATCTGTTAGGTGCAAGATTGGAAAGAAGGTCACCCTTCCTCCTAACTTCACATCCTGAAGGAAAAAGAACTACTCATAGCCCTAAGAACACTCCTGTTTTTTAAACAAGGCTGCATTTAGGAAGTGGCATGCAAAACAGCGCCTTCTTTGCAGCATAGAATAAAGAAGTAAACCTGAAATGGAGAATGTGAGTTGAAAAAGCCTCATTGAAAAAGAAAACCCCTTATATAGGTTCTATTGTTTCATAGCATTATTGTACAATCTTAAGGATTTCCTAAGTGCGGCCAGTCCCTTGCCAAAAGCAAGGTTTTCAGTCAGTACTGATAGGCAGTGATCGTCGTTTGCAGCCCAGCTTGAGTTCATGCTGGACTGCAAAAGAAGAATGGAAACAATTGGGAGTACAGTCGTACCTTGGCTTTCAAACAGCTTAGTTATCAAACATTTCGGCTCCCGAACGCCGCAAACCTGGAAGTGACTATTCCGGTTTGCAAACTATTTTTGGAAGCCGAACGTCCAACGGGGCTTCTGCAGCTTCCGATTGGCTGTAGGAGCTTCCTGCAGCCAATCAGAAGCCACGCTTTGGTTTCCAAACATTTGGGAAGTTGAATGGACTTCCGGAACGGATTACGTTTGGCTTCCAAGGTACGACTCAAGAGGACTGCTAATTTTTTCCTTTGAATTTGGGTTATCTGACACCATGGTGATGTCAGGTGATTGGAGGTTGGAGGCCCAAGCCACCTACAAAAGAGGTCTGTGGTGGGGGATGAGGGCGTGAGCTCAGGATGTGGCCTGCTGGCTGTATTCTGTTCCCTACCCCTGATATAGGTGATGAAACCCTGCCTCTTCTGCCTCCTGTACAAATTTATTTTCTTATGGAATTGTGGACTTCTCTTACTGATATTAACATACTGTGGTACCTCGGTTTAAGAGTAGTCCTGTTTACGAACTATTCGGTTTACACTACTCCACAAAACTGGAAGTAGTGTTCCTGTTTGCGAACTTTACCTCGGTCTTCAAATGGAAGCTGAACAGTGGAAGGGCACCGGTGGCGGGAGGCCTCATTAGGGAAAGCACACCTCGGTTTAAGAACAGATTTGGTTTAAGAACGGACTTCAGGAACGGATTAAGTTTGTTAACCAAGGTACCACTGTAATTTTATAATCCTAATGTCCTTCTCAGCAGTAATTATCCACAATCTGATTATTCCAACAAAACAGTCTCTGAGTTCCTCAAAATATTCTGTTTCTCTCTCTCTCTCTCTCTCTCTCTCTCCCTCTCTCTCTTTCTCTCTCTCTCTCTCTCTCATCCCCCAACACATCCTAATCAATCGGGAACAATTCTTGTTCACTGTATGTGACCAGCTAAGTATTTGCAAGGCTGATTTCACATAGAGGGATTCTTGTTTTAGCCAATATTATTTCAAAGAAAGCATTCCACTCAAATTTCAACTTTTTGTGTTGCCAGGCACAGGAATTGAATCACACTTTTTATCCATTAGCGAATGTCACTATCTGGAGAAAGCTTTCAAGTATAAAACAGGTGCCTCTTGGGATCCCTTTCCTCCATAATTGCTTGAGTCCAACCGGGGACTTATTAAATGGAACAAACTCTAATAAGTCAGAATTAATAATTTTTTCAAAGTATATTTACCATTTACTATGACTGGAATGCAACAGCCAGGACATGCCTCATTTATGAACTTTTCCCAAAGGAATGATTACAAAGGTATTGTAAATCTTTAGCAAATACATTCTCAATTTGGTAATATTAGCTGTTACACACAAGAATTGCAAGGTCACCACCATACACTGCCTAAAATCAGTGTGTTCTGAATTGACCCTTGAAATGTAACAGGAACTTCTTTCTTCCCTAACATGATATACATGACAGGTATAAAGGAATCTCTTTTACCGTCATACCTTGTTTTGCGGCCGGGATCTGTTCTGGAACCCCAGCCACTAGCCGAAAAGGACACAGGGCAAAGCTCTGTGTCTGCGAACGCGTGGAGCGGTTTGCGCTTTTGCTCATGCGTGAAGCGCAATTTAGCACTTCTGCGCATGTGCAAGTGGCAAACGGAAGTAACCCGTTCCGGTAGTTCTGGGTTTTCCTCAGACGTTCGCCAGAATGGACGCTAGACAAGGCAGACGTTCGCAGAGGTATAACTGTACTTGGAGCTATCTCTTACTCTGTTCTTTATAAACTAAATATTTATATAACACCATAATCAAATTCAAAGGTAGTTTACAATATTTTATTAGGTTTTCCTTAAATGTCATGATGTGTGGAGCACAGTTTGATTAATAATCAATCTAGCGGGGAAATTGATTCATTACTTAGGCATTTGAGAATCTTCTGAATAAATTCTCAATGAACCTGACCTTCAGACCTCTCAGACACCTGATCACTTCAGCATGCTCATTCACATAAGGGTGACAGCCTCATAAAATTAGAAATGGTGTCAGTTGTGCTTATACATATGATGTAGTCTAGAGCAGGGCTGGGGAACCTGTGGCCCCCGATGTTAGTTGGTGTTCAGCAACCATCAGTGCCAACCAACAGAGTCAACAGTGGTGATGGGAATACTAGTTCAACAACATCTGGAGAACCGCAGATTCCCCCATTCCTAGTTTAGAGAGTCATCTTGGGAAAGGGGTTTCTGTCCGTTGCCTTTCAACAGAAAATCCCCCCAGAACATTGTAGGGCTTGGCAGTTCCTCTGCTCTACTTTCAGCTCTGTAAAATAGTGGCGAGAAATCGGCACCCAAAGAATAGCTTCGATGTGAGAAGACTAATAATATTGTTGGCCTTAAGATACAAGAGTGGGCATGCAATAGGTTAAGATGCAGCCAACACAAGACCATCCCTGACAAGCTCATAATGATTACGATGATGATTGTGGGCTGTTCTGTACTATATCTGTACTATAATCTCTTGTATCAACAGAGAAACCTAATCCTATTAAAGCCTGTGAATCCAAACCCGACCTGTGAATCCAGATGGCAAGCAAACACATTGCCCATATGTTTGATTTCACTACTTTTCCATGAAAAATCTTTCAGAGAATGAGCTGCCAGTTACAGTGAAACATTGGGGAGTTGTTCTCTAGGAAGATTCTACCTTGACACATGGAAACCTGTAATATTTCATAAACTAGCATTTACGAAAGGACTGTCATCACCATATATATATTTTCTACCTCCGCAAAAATGTGGGGCCGGCGCAGGGGTAGACACTACATTCTAAGTCCAGATGCTCCAAAATGTTTGCAGTAAAGGAGCCACACAGCATATTAGCTACAGAATCTAGTTTTCTGCAAGTAATCTCATTCCTTGTGCAGGAACTTAACTAACTTCTGAGACCCTCCTGGTGGTCCCTGTGTAGGGTGAAGTATGCAGTGAGGGG